CCCCAAAACCCCAAAACCCCAAAACCCCAAAACCCCTCAAAGAAAGTCTTTTATTGAGACAATATAAATGGAGTTAGGTTCAAGATAAAACTGGAAAGGAATGTCTTCCTCACCATTGCATCTTAAAGCTCTTTCCCATTCTGTCCTAAAATTTTGCTTTCAAGCAACTAGTCATCGTCCTATGTCTTTTTACTCCTATAAAGCCTGAGAAGTCCAGTCACAGGTGTCTTTATAGCTTCCAGTGATTGAAGCATACAAGCGAAGAACAGATTTAGGGGGTTTGGAAATAGCAGAAATCTAGTTTCAGGAAAATAGAGAATTTAGAAGGGAAATTAGGGTCTAGCGAAGACAAGCGAATACATTTTGATCATGAAGTGGGGGGTTTTATGGGAATTTTCAAGAATTTGCTAATTTTAAAGAGATTTGATAACATACTTGACAGAGCTTTTTTTTCAAATTTGATTTTTAGGTTCTGAGAAAGTCTCGTTAAGTCTATATTTTGAAATTGAAAATGGGAACTTACTTTCTTCTTTTAGGCTTCTTATCTGAAGATCTATAATAGAATTAATCTAGAATCGATAGAGATGTGATTTCAGTACTTTTTAAACAGAATGATGGAAATAAAGGATCTGGGTAACATTTTTCAGAATCCTTGTTCTTAATTTTCAGAAATATATTAATAGACTTTGATAAATATTATAGTCCGTTAAAGTACTATTGCAATAAGAATTGTAAACTATAGCTTATGATGCTCAGGTTACTATATTATTCCACTAAATATGGGCCGAAGCCACTAAAATTGGGAATATGTCATTTCAAAGTTTGTCATATTAATAAGATTAAATTTTCAAAACCTCAAATTCTTTTTGCTGGAGATAATTATTCTGGTAAAGAGTCAAGCTGCCAAGCCACTCAAATCATTATTATCAGTAACTTACTTGGAAGAAGAGCTTAATTTCTTTGTTCTAGCTTTGGATGAACTCTGTTCATTGATGCAAAGAGAATTTGAGGAGTTTGCTTTCTCCATGGCTTCTAGCATTACTTTGTAATCTATATCAAATGTAAGTGGATTTTGATATAAGAAAATCCTGGCTGTTAAATATAGAAGAATTCATCATACAACTAACATTATATAAGGAAGAATTCTCCCCAATGTGCCTTATGGCCAAAATAGGAGGATCTGTATTGGTTCAAAAAGTTAGTAATTTTAAAAACAAAGAAAATTAGGTGATATGTTTATGAAGAAATTACTAATTTTTGACTTGAAACTATTATCATCCTTAAATATGGTCATTAGCCTACCTCCTTTTGCCATCCTTTTCGCGCCTTGATCCACCACTAAAGAGGAGGTTAGGTTAGCACAAGGAAAAGATTTACTCTTGGTCATCTTCTGGATGTTTTGTTTTATTTTGTCTATGGTTTTATGGATCTTTTCACCCAAGAACTGACTATGATTGTCACAAGCCAAGACTTACTCTATCTCGATTTGCCGAGTTGAGTGTGTGCTCTCAGTTCCATTAATGAATTCAGCGAGGTTAGTATCAATTTCAAAATATTTATCAAAGCTGGATAATTTATTTGTTGGCCTTGATCTTGGTCTTAAAGGAGCGTTTTGAATTTTTATTTAAATTTGTCTCCTTGCAGATATCTTTTGCAAGATTGGTGCTTACATACTTATCTTCTTCTAAAAATTGCGGTCATGCTTAGGTTTGCACAGAAAAGGGTTCTTCCATGTTTAAAATTTTTATTCGTAAAAAGAAAAATCTTTCGTTTGGAAATGCCAGGAAATATGGAAGAAAGAAAACTAAAGAAGCCAAGAAGTGGAAAAGTTTTTTGGAAAAGATAATTAATGCTAGCTAAAGATTTATATAAATGGCTTCAAAAGAATATCATTGAGGTTAATAAAGGATCTTAAATATGTTTGCCACAAAATTATCGCTGAGATATTTAAAAGAGGTAAGAATAAAAACTAAATGAGTGATAAAGAACCTATTCAAGACCTTCATTCTGTATTATTAGAGGTTATGATAACAATGGTAAGTTTTTATGTCTTACCGTCAAATAGCTCGCTTTCATCAAAAGAAAAATTCGAAAGCATCTCAAATTCATCATCTTTGCTTCTTTTATCTGAATCATCAGCAGTATGAGTTAAATCACTCGATGAAACCGGACTTTTCGGCTTCTTCAACCCCTTTAGAGACGTCATATCAATATCCTGAATCTTTATAAAACTCCACGTCCCTGCTCCTGAAAGTATGCCTTTCTGAAGCATAAACTGTCCTCTCTCTTCACTATATCCACTCTTACCCCCTCTCTTACCCCTCCTCCCCAAAAATCCAAAGATCGAGGTCCAATCCCCCTCCACTACCCCTCCTACCCTCCCCCTACCAATCCCCACCCCAACCCCTCTCTCTCGCCTCCATTCCCCTCTACTCCTCCCCAATCCTCATAACAACCCGTTTGGAGTAAGGATTTAGAGACTGGCGTACCTGTCCTCCATTTTCCACCAAGTAAGCAAATAATTTATTTGCTCTCAGCAGATGGGGGTTAATAAGGGGTTTTGGGGTTTTGGGGTTTTGGGG